TGATCCTTGTAGGTACAGTTCAGTCCTCACAGGTTTCCTTCCCAAACTGGCTTTCCTACAGAGCACTTACATAGCAAGAAGCCAGTGTGGGGTACAGATTACACTATTACCCACATCCATCTCATTTGGGGAGGTATTCATGCCTAAAGAAGGACCAGATTTTTAAAGACAAAATGCATGGCAATTAGGGGCTGAATATAATACGCAATTTCTCATTGCAGTTTTGTAGGTTTTGTTTTTAACTGGGCTTATTTCTAGCAGGGGGTTGAAAGGCATGTAGATAATTTGTCTATGAGCAAGTGAGTGAGTTTCGATGCTTTAAACTTTAAAAAAATGTCTTATGTTGGAAGAATGGGGGAGAGTTGGGTGAATAGAGGATGATAGAAGAAAATACATGATAAAGGAAGGATGGGAAATTGTCCTGAGTGTCTATCTCTGCAGATGTAAAAGCACAATTTTGTAGCGTCAGACTGTGTTATTTGCTCTACCGCCCACTGTAAGGAGCATTGCTATTATATGTAACAGTTATCCTGGGGAACAGGTGGAGAGGAATGGCAGAACAGTTGGGGAAAGTGGAGAACAAAGAAAACAGAGGCATTTCATACACTAAGGAGAAAGGTGGACTGATACATATCTCTATGTCCACAAATATGGGGAACCCAGATACAACCTCAGGGGGAAAATACCCTCATGCGCCCATCTTTATATCACTTCCCCCTCCCCCATCTTCTTTCTGGGAAGAGAAAGAACAGGAGGAGCCCCAGGTGGGGAGAAGGGGCATGCAGAATGTGAGGAACTGGCGAGGACACTGTGTGTCTAGAGAGAAAAAGGGAAGAAATAAACTTAGAAAGCTAACCAAAAAAAGAGACCCTACAGTTTGGGTTCTGGCTATAGAACTGTCTCATTTTAAATCTCCAGAATTAAAGGCGGAAGACAACATCCTGTATGTCTCTTCTCAAATTATGTCGTTTATCAATACCACTTCCTTTTGTCTTTAAATAGTAAACGATGCTTTCTGTGCCTCTGCCTTATAATTGTCCACATCAGTGCTTTCAGATGCCCCAGAGACCATGTAGACAAGGGACAGCACTGAGAGTCGCTGGCCAAAGAGAAGCCGGTGGGAGGAGTTCTGGGCCCAGTGGGAGGGTGCTCAGTGGGAAGGGTGCTGAGGTCGGCAGGTGCTGTCTGCCCCTGACCTGGTTGGGAGAGCTGTGATGGGAGGAGCCTTCTAGGTGGTGCCATCCACACCAACAGCCGAAGCCTCTGATTTAAGCCGGGGAGCACAGAGACATTGATCCAGTTGCCAAAAGCCACAGAGCTATTTAGCATTTCACTAACTTGTTATATTTTTTAAAAAAGTGTTGCATCGGGGAGAGAATGAGATTAATCGAGAACTAACGATTCTGAAAATGAAAAACTATCTGTCTCCAAGGCATTTAGAATGGAAAATAAACCCTCCTGAAGCATTTTGTTAGACCCTTTGACAGAATTGTTAGGCACCCTGATTGGTGCTTTCCAGAGCCAAACACGCTCAGAAGCCTGGGGGCCTTCTCGTCAGTTTCAGAGGCGTTTGCAAGTCTGTGGTGTCAGAGACTGTTTCTCCCAGGAGGAAAGTTTCCTTCATGCTTGGATGAGGGATAAAGAAGAAGGAAGAGATTTTAAGGTGTTATTTGCCTTGGATTAATGGACATTTAAATTTGGCTTTAGAATCTTTTGAATGATAGCTCACAAATGTTACTTTAAAAAAAATTCTTTTCATAATATATTGGGGTGGGGGGAACACCCACAAAAATGTCCTAGATAAGATTTGGACATGGTTTTAACTAATCATGATAGCAGGCAATAGTCTCAATTCCAGAATAAATGGCATATCATAACAAATCCAAGGAAAAGAGTTAAGTCCTTCATCAGAGCCAAGCTGGAACTCTGGCCCCAAAATCTCTCCCTTCCTTGCCTGAGAATTGACTATTAAACATTCTGAAGGTATTTTTGAAAATAATAATATTCTTGGTGGATATGTCATTTCATGTTTATTGTTGGCTAATAATGAAAAAGGAAGGCTGGTGGTGAGAAGGGATTCGTTGCAGCTGTGGAAGAAGATCAGGGAGTGAAAGAAATAATGGGTCTCAGAGAGGAGCTATGGGAGTTTGACAGCCCAGAGGTGGAGTTCACTATCTCAAAGCTGCCTCTGACTCTAGAATGTTCAGCTGACCTTTGGCCTTATATATCTAAAAATGCAACAACATTAAGTAGCTGATGAAAACCATCCTCTTAAGTAAACCCTCAAGATGCCTTTGGAAAATAGCAAAGGAAAAAAAGAAAAGAGAAAAGCAATGTAAGAGTGTGTAGGAGTGCCTTCTCTCCAACATTTCTGAGAAGATGGGAGTTGAAAACCTCAAACAAAATGTTGCCCCAATCTCACTTGGCTAATTTTAGTTCTCTTGGTTCATGGCTATGATTCATCCCTAAAGCTGTGAATTGCTGAGGAGGAAGGAGGAAAAATTGACTTAAATGTCAGCACAGTAGGAACAAAAATATAGTTTCTTTTTTGGAGAACCAGAATTCAAGAATATGGGGATTTTTTTTTCTTATGAGGAACTAAATGCTTCAAACTTCTAGAAAAGTAATTATCTCCAGTCAAAACATTATCAAGGAATAAAAGACAGCATTAATTTTGAGTGAGGTCATATCCCAATTTTTGCCTTCACAGTGTCTTTTCTTTTCTTCTGTATCTCTACAAATCTTATTAAACTAGAGATCACTAATAATCATATGTATTTGAGTATGATGGAAGCTTAATATGCAGACTGTAATGAGAGATGGTGCTTCTAACACAGGTGAGGAAGAAATGGAGGGAGATAAATATAACTATGAGAAATAAGTCTGGGGAATGGGATGGTAGCTTAGAAATGAAAGACATATTAGAATGGTCAGATGCTGTCTTGCCTGCTAAAGAATAGGCAATCAAGAAAAGGTATTTCAATTTAAGAAGTGTCCTCTAGTAAAATGGCTTTATTTCATCACTCAGGACCTAATGTGTCATTCAGCTGATGTGACAGTGCATCCCTATAGGTAAACTAATGGGATACTATGGAGGTGAATAGATCTCTGGAGGTTGGAGAATCCCACGACTTGGCATTCATATTAGGAAACTGATATCTTGAATGTCCAAGTGACTTTCTTGCCCACAGCTTTCCTTCTTTTGCATCTTTTGGAAGATGTCAATGCCATGTCTATGACTATCTATTATTATCTCTAGTGGAGAGATACTTTAAAATCCATAGAAAATATTTGCCAGAGGGTCCTTAGCTATCCCCATTTCATACCACCTTGATCCACTGCCTTTATTATCCAATACATATCCAGTTCTTTTCACAATGAGTATATTTCATTTTATGAGCTTCTGTGAGCTGTGCCAGAGTACAATGAATACCTGTTTCTGTTTTTCATTTCCATAATCAAGTTTCCCCTTACGTGGCAGTTTTTGTTATGGGTTGAATTGTGTTCCCACGTAGATATGTTGAAGTCCTAACTCCCAATACCTGTGAATGTGACCTTACTTGGAAATATGGTCTTTGCAGTTTAATCAAGTTAAGATAAGGTCAGTAGGGAGGGTCCCAACCCAAAGCCACCAGTGTCATAAGAAGAGAGCCACTCGGTGACAGAGGCAGAGATCAAAGTGCTGCAGCTACAAGCCAAGGAATGCCAAGGATAACAGGTTAAGAACAGAAGCTTGGAAGAGGCCAGGAAAGATTGTCCTCTACAGAGTGAGGCTATGCTGACACCTAGACTTCAAACTTCTAGTTTTCAGAACTGTGAAATAATAAACTCTTATAGTTTCAAGCCACTGAGGTCATAGTATGGCCTGCCTAGGAAATGAATACGTGCAGAAATAAAGGCAAGAAGGAGGGCAACTGGAAGCCAAAGAAAGAAATGCTTTCTTTCTTGAGATGGTTTACTCATGTCATTGGTTATAAGTTTTTTTTTATTTCATTGAAATGATCCATAGTGGTTTCACATAATTCATGAAAAAATATTGATGAGGGGTCTCTCCCTATATATAATGTAACATATAATGTAACATGCTATTTAAATAAATTTCCATCATATAACAGTTGGTTTCTTTTCATTGTCCTAGGTCATAGTATAGTTTATTTTCCTTTGGAAAATTTATTATTTATTTATTGTCTTTTAATATATTATTTTGTAGTATATATAATTGCATGAACAGCAGTATGTATTTCCTCAAAACATGTAATCAAAGGCACTTAAAACACAAATTATTCATAATATATTATTTAGGTCCAAATGATGAGCTATATGATGCTGTGTTCCAAGCTCATATTTACTTCTATAAATAAAATTAAAAATTAAAATTTCAATTTTAGTAGTTTATTTTGTAAAGCTCTTCTCTATTTACAAAGGGCACAACTGGAAATAAATATTACTTATATCATATTTTCAAGACAAAAAAACACATTTTAAAGTCTTACAAAATATATTGAGTGACCAAATTTAAAAATGTATGTCAAGAGCCTTCACATATCACCCAATTTTAAAACATGACCACATTCTATAAGCTTTCCCAGTATAATCTGATCTCTTATATTACTCAATTATCTGAAAAACTGAAGGGTCTTGTAAGGAAGAGATTCCTCATAGATTTAGTGGTTAAACAAATGTCCAAGAGTTGGGATACATGGATCTTCTCATTAACCAGAAATCTTAATTTCTTCCAGAAGCCAGTCTGGATTATTTCAAACTCTTCATCTTGGAGATTGGGGATTCAGCTTGTTATATCCATGCATAGTACCTGGATGCTCATGTCTTTGAAAGCAAGTCAAACCTAATGTCAAAATCAATAGACCAGTCAATGTATCACATTGCTCCATGTATAGAATGCTTTCTGTCCCAATTATTCTAGGCATCACACAATCTGATCCTAGGTAATAATAATGCAAGGAACTGGACTACCAGATGTATAGTGTCAGAACACTTACTTGAGAGTGGTGAGTTCTGTGAGGGATGGCTGAGTAGCCTTGAGATAGCTTTCTCTTCGTGCAGCAACTTTGGGAGATGGCTTGGGACTTGTGTCCGAGTCACCACTGTCTTCATCTCCCATGGCTTTGATATAGCTGCCACTCCGCATTCTTCGGCAGGGAATTTCATCGTCTTTACCTCGAGGGGTATACCCTGTCCATTCATCTTGAGGAACCTATTCAGACATAAAAGAGATGATTCATTTTTTACAAAACCCTACATTTTCCTTTCTTTACTTTCTTAGGGGCTCTGACCCAAAAACTTCAGACATTAACTTTTCAATAATGGTGTTTTACTATAACTGGTTTGAAAATAGTTTGAATGCATGGAAATCCATGTCTGAATCTTTAAAACAACCTGTGTATTAGGAAAAACAAATATAATTGGCTCAGATTTACTTGTAACTCTCAGTTTTCATGCTGAGAATAATTGAGTCAGGCATAAGAATGCCATTGGAAAGGAGATCGGTTTTATTACCGTAGTTTTTCAATTATTTGTTTTCAACTGTCATTTAAAAATTTTTTTAAAGTGGTTTTTTTTTTTTCATCTTCCTTTAACTCTCAACTCTACCATCTTATATCTGATCTTTTTTCTTCCTCAACCAGTGGTCTACTAGTATAACAGCTGCACTGACTTCCCAATCACCTGTTCTTTCCGAACCCTCTTAATTTGGATTCAGCCTCCAAATTAAAGGGTACCAATGACCTCCTCATGAAAGCTAGTGGCATTTTCTTACTTTAAATTATTTTTTTTTATCTACACACACACACACACACACACACACACACACACACACACTCTACTACCACCACCACCTTAAAGAGTGTCTCTACTTACCTGGGATAGCTATTACTGTATTTATCTGAATTGTTCTTTCCTTTTTGCTTTGCTGGATCCTATTCTAAGTCCCTAACTGTGGGTACCACACAAGATAATGTTCTCAGTACATTCTACAGCCATTCCCTCTGAGTTCAGCAGAGCACTACACTACAATATAGAGAGCTTTTTTTATGACTTTTCTTTGGTTGCTTTTAGATTTTCCACTTCAACGTGGACTAAACTTAGGTTCTCATTTCTTCCTCTACTTGGTAAAAGACATGCATAATTACCAGTCTTTATATACATTAAGAAGTAACAGCCTACAACGCAGAGGGCTTAATTTAAAAAGAAGGGGGAGTCTGGTTCTTGCCCTCAACATGTTTGCAGCAGAGATGAGAAGACAAAGCATAAATAAATTTGAGAACCGTTCCAAATCAACATGTTAACAGGTTTAAGGTAGGGGCCATAAATGGAAACTGGCCCAATTTGCAATGCGAAGTTAAAAAGGTATGTAATATTTTGATGCTAAACATTTACTGATTATCCATTAGATAATGCAGTGTTCATTACTAACATTTAACTATGCTAAGCAATTTGTTTATAGGGTTTCATTAATACAACAACTCTGTGCATTTTTCATCATTTCTGGGATGAGAAGCAGGAGCTCAGATAGCTTAAGAAATTTGCCAAAGAACACATAGCTACTAAATGGCAGCACTGGGATCTAAGCATTTTGTTTAACACAAAATATCATAATTTACTTACTCCCAACATATGGATCTTAACACTTAAGTGTTAAGAAAATTGTCTACAATGTTCCATACAGGCATTATATATAGATTTATAGATATTATACCCATTCTAAGAAGTGAGAATAGATGTTCCACTTCTTTCTCTCTTAAGTTATGAATTTGACTATATGACTAGAAACATCAGATTAAAGTGTTACTACCATTCATGGATCTGAAGACAGTTGTTTATAAGTTCTAATCCTGAAAAGACTAAAAAAGTATGAGTAAGTTTCACTGTGAAGCTTGTTTATTTTATTAGATGAATTCTTAAATCATGCTTTCCATATGCAGGCACTGTTCTAAATGTTTTAGAAATGTTAATTCATTGGATCCGCACAGCAGAAGGGTAGTATTATTGTTATCCCCATTTTACAAATGATGAGACTGAGGTTCTGTAACTGACTCCAAGCCCCAGCCATGAAGGGCAGGATTCCAGCTCACAGCTCATGGGCCTTGCGCTTGATCACTGTTTGATGCTGTCTCTCTAGGCTATGTTCAGTAGTCCTTAGGGAATCGAACACTTTATGGTCCCATGGCACCTTCATAATCCATCACATCTGATGCATTTGCTATTTCACTTATGGTAGTAACAATATAGAGTTTTTCCTTTTTTTTTTTTTTAGCTAAAAAGCATCAGTGTCACTATAGCAACAGGGGACATTTCTTAGGGAAATTATAAATGCTGAGAACAGTCTTGTTTTTCCCTTCAATTGGCAGATGACTCACCGCAAAGATATGATCATGTTCAGAACCTCATTGTTGACTTAGCAGATAAATTTTTACAAATTAAGTTAGTACAGCTGAGGGTCATACATGTGCCCACGACATTGCCATTTCTCAGTATTGATGCGCAGTTCATAGGCATTACCCTTGAGAATATGTCAGAGACTAATGCCATCTTAGCTCACATCACTTATGAAACAGAACATGGGAAATTTCTGATTAGGTGTTTTCTCCAAAATCAGTTTATGGTCGAAACTTAGACTTGGACTAGAAACAGGCTGTGATTATTGAGAAAGGAATCAGTTAGGTAGTATTTAATCAGTATATCTTTCAATTAAACATTGTTTTCAAATGACTACAGCTAAAAAATTGTATGTAAGTGACTTATCTTGGAGTGGAATTTAAAAATTAATATGTGATTTATACACCTAAACATAGCCTAGAACACAATTACATATAAAAATGCATAAATCAGTTCTAGGAAAAATGTAAAAACAAAAATGAAAATAAAGACCTTGGAGAAGAAAAATACTGTTGCTGAAATTTAAGAGCCAGCAAAATTGTTCTAATTGCATCACAGTTTTTATTCTGAGTCTCTTACATTCTAAAGTAAAGGGGAAGACAGTGATTGGGTACATAGTTTTCAAGGAAAGCATATAAATTTGTAAGGTGTCTAGAGCATGAAATATTATCCCCTTTTGATTGAAAAGAAAGGAGACTCATGGTTACAGCTACTATAGTGATCTAGTCAAAGGTTGCTATGTCTTCCTGCTTCAGTTGCACAGGGAAAAAAGATTTAGGGAAATAAAAAATTTAACCTTGCAACTGCCTGAAAAAGCCTTTATTATTATTAGTCCCAGCAGTTTAAAGAAATGAAAGTCGGTAAGAGAAGAAAGCTGCAGCAGATAGGAAAGCAGCCAGGTCAGCTGTTCTGCTTGTCTGCACCAGTTTAGGAGGTGATTGGATCCAACAAAACCCGGCTATAACAAATATGTAATAAAGGCTAAGTTTGACAATAGTTATGACAATAGTTATGGGTTAGAGAAAAAGAGGATCATTAGCTTTTTTATGCTTAAGTATTAAAATACCAATGGAGAGCTTTATTTTTTTATAAAATGAAATGAAGATTACTATGGATTTTTCTATTTTGATTATAGCCAGTCTGTAACTTAAACCGCATGTCATCATTCAGAAGTACAGAAGACCTGCCTCTGACCTAGGAATGGCCACAACCAGTGCTATCATTCTCTTATTACAGGATAAGGATGCTTTATGAACTGAAATAGAGTCGTGGTCACTGAGTGATAGCCACTCAAATGACAGCTTCAGTCGATTCAGTCACAGAACAAGGAAAGATTAAACACAATATGATGAGGCATGCTTTCATTTCCTAATTCTCCCTCCCTTTCTCTCCTTTGCCTCTCTCCCCCCTTTTCATTTACCCTTGCAAGTATTTTTTTTTTTTTTGCGTGTTTATTTTCTGGCCATTGTCTGCGTGCCAGGAATATGCAGCAGTGAACAGTACCAATGTTGATCCCATGTTATTGAGCTTACATTCTATAAGGAGAAGAGAAAGAGACAGATAATAGACCAGTACACAATACACAAACAAGGTAATTTCTGAAACCATAAATGCCTTGAGGAGAGCTCGGGGAAGGACTTTCAGGCAGAGGGATCAGTCAAGGAGAAATCTCTAGAGTAGGAGTAAGCTTGGTGTAATCAAAGCCTAGGAGACATATGCCAGCTGGCCAGAGCCCAGGGAGCAAGAAGGGGCAGGACAGGTCTCATAGGTCCTCCAAAGCACCCCCTAAATTTCTCCTCAAGGCTTAATTCCCATAGCTCCCACCAACTGCTCCACTCTGAACTGATCTCCTTTATGAAATTTATGGCATAGATCATCTACATAAGGATCAGCAACCTGTAGCTCACAGACTAACTCCAGCATGCCATTTCTTTGTAAATAAAGTTTTATTGGCATATGGCCATGCCCATTCATAACATATTGACCTTGGCTGGTTTCCATGTACAAGGGCAGAGTTGTGATGGAGATTGTGTGGCCCAAACCAGATCCACATGTTCCACCTGAGTTCTCTGGCATTTGTGTACACTACTTGTTTGTGTTTTTGTGTCATCTCTCCAAATATTCAGTAAATTCTTTGAACCTGGGGGAGCGGTATTGCTGAAGGGTCAGTATGTGGGCTGTGCAGTTAGACTGCCCAGGTTTGAATTCCCGCGGGGCCAGTAACAGGGCACTTCCATGGTCAAGTTAATTAAGTCCTCTATGTCTCAATTTCCTGGTTCATTTTCCCCTCCACATAGTTATTTGTGGATTGCCTGAGGTAATGTCCATCGGCACACAGGAAGTGCTCAGGGAAGTCCTCTGTTATGGGAGTTGTGCATGACTCCCAGCATGCAGCAGGGCACTGAGCATGTAGATGCTCTCTGATGATGGATGACATTGGCTTTCCAAGAGATCTGATGCCGTGTTTGGTTTTCTCTGGTAACGGAGGGGCAGAAATCATTGAAATACAGTAATCAGAAACTTGAATTTCTAATATATTGTCTCCTCCCATCATTTTTGAGGGAAAGCCCCCATCAGGAAGTACTGCACAGCTTTTTGCTCTGAGACTCATTTCTATTATGCAGGACTAAGGGGGACCTTGCTTCCTTGGGTGACTTAGCTTGCTAGCTTCCAGGTGATCAGATCTCAAATGCCTTCTTCTGGTTCCCAAGGCAGAATACTTTGGTATTTGTATTTTTTAGAAACCCAGAGCTGAGACCTTTGCATTCCCTAGGTATGAGGACTGACAAGGCCTACAGCTGGGGCACAGAGGCTCTGGGC